AGAAGGCCCTGAGTGCGTCTGCTAGATACACCTATCGTGGATAAACGAAGGCCCTGAGTGCGCCGTTTATTCACAACCCACGTATAAATAACAACACCGATCAGCGGGTCCGTCATCACGCGCGCTGGCGCATTGCTGTGGTGCCGCGGGGCGTTACCGAGTCGCATGCGTGCACTGGCACGCTGCATGCGACCGTTGGACGCGTACTGGACTGCTGGACGTCCGGCGTACGCATTACTGACCGCTGGCTGCTACCGCGAGTGGCTAAGTGCCGCAGCTCGCGGGCAGGCGCATACACTGGCAGCCCACGCTGCCTGTGTGCCAACACGCTGCTGCCGCTACGTGCGGCAGCGCGTCCATAACCGGCATTCACCAGCCATTTGGTGAATACCTTCGGCAACCACGACATCAAACCACATGATACGACTTAATATGAACATGTTTATGAAAATAACTTGAAATTATCACTTTTCGCACGATCAACATGAAAGGGGCCGTGGCGAGCGCGCCGTGCACCGTCGACGGCAATACGCCGTCTCCCGACCGACTTCACTTATCCCTCGGAAACTCAAAATCACTTAGACATGACTCATCATTTAAAAGTTGTTGCAACATAATTCATACAACAACCCTGACTATAACCTGAAACCATATCATAACTTAGTGCGGCCCGCGGTCACACGCGATGGCCACGGCCACCCTCTCGGTTGGTCTTCCTAGTAACCTACTCATATATCAAGAAATCCAAATAATTGAATATGTCATCACATAACTGAGTCAAATAAGGTCTTATTTGTTTAAAGAATTTCTGAAACAACATGATGACTTGATCCAATTCGACATGCGAACACACACATACGGACACTCACGGACACACACGGCCGAACAGCTCGAAACCTCAACAAAACATCACTAGCTCATCATTACCATAATTAATTCAGAGGTAATCTTGAATTACCTTCTCAAGATCTCGATCGAACTTCGCAAGAAAACGTGATTTCTTGGCTTCGGGTGTGCGTGACTTGCCGTGTGGTGCTTGCTATTGCCGTGCTTGCGATGCCTTCTTGTTTGGTTAGGAAAATTTCTGATCTCTCTCACTCTCTCTACTCTGAACTCTCTATAGATGAAGGTCTTATAAGAAAATAGGGGAAATTTTCGGTCCCAATACTCCTTCTTATACTAATGCCGTTGGGACAATTAGTTTGGGTGATGATGGCTCGTAGACGTGGCCTTTTTGCTTGCCTTCCAAATGCTAGCACCTAAGTGATTATGTGGTGACTAAGCACCTCCTTAATTGCCACGTTTTGCACCAAAAAGGTGAGGACAGTTAGCTTTCCAAATTGTAAAGGAAGCTCACGTTTTTTTTTTTTTTTTAAATTGGGATAAATTTGCACCAAGTCACGGCTTAATCACTAAATTGTGATTAATTAACAATTAATCACTACATTATGTCTAATTTTCAATTAAACATAATACTTAATTACCAAAATTATTCCGAACGTAAACGGTACGTCGAAAATATATTTCGGTAATCTCGACTGAAAATAATTTAATTCCGAAAATAATAATTCGACAACGTTATTATATCGGAACTAACAACATAATTGATACTGATAAAATAACGGGATATTACAACTATGATGGCTAATCTGCTCAGTATAGTGACTACAACAAACCCTGGTTTTATTAGCGTCTTACATTTGCGGATAGTGAAAATAAATCAATCAAGAGAAAAATATCAATAATAAAAATACAAACATAATAAAAGGAAAGATAGAGGTCATTGTTCGACTAGATAAGGTCATTGCTCGACAGGCTCGATAAGGTCATTGTTCGACTCGAATCGGGGTTGTTTGTTCCCTTAGTCACCAACATAAAACAATGAATTACTAAAGAGAATGCACCAAAGTAGAGGTGTCCACGGAATGACCCGGCCCGAAACTAGCCCGAACGTAAGGTTTTTTTAACCGGACCCTTAACCTTTAAGGGCCGATTCAGGGTCGATTTTTTTGCCTTTTTGACCCGCCGGGCCGGGCTGGTTCCGGGTCTTCCGACGTGTCGTAGTTTTTTTTTTTAACCGGCGGTTCACTGGTTCATTTTAACTGGCCCTTAGGTACAGCCGGGCCGGTTCCGGGCCTAACATTAGAGGCCCGCCAACCCGGTGGGCTGGGCCGAGCCGGGTCGTGAACTGGCCCGGCCGTTAAACACGTCTACACCAAAGCATGGCAATGATTGCTTCCAACGCAATGAAACAACAGAATATTTAGAGTTTTCCAGGACTATAAAACAGAGATTTATATACACGAGCTTAGAGAAGACGATTGAAGAAGGGTAAGAGCAATTAAGCTACCCCAGGTACTACAAAATAAATGTTATATTCCAACGAAAAATCCTATGGTAGTATATTCCAATGGAAATTCTAACGGATATTCCAATGGAATAGTTTCCGTTGGAATAGTTCCAACAGAAATTCCAACGAAAATAATCCGTTGGAATGTGTTTTTCATTGGAATTTTAGATGGAATTTGATGATTCCAACGGCTATATTTCCAACGGCTTTTTACCGTAGGAATTTCTGTTGGAATATGCAAATTCCGTTGGAATTTTTTTTTCACCCCCGTTGGAAAATCCACCGTTGGAATCGTCAAATCCAACGGAAATTCCAATGGAAAACCTATTCCAACGGAATATTTTTGTTGGAATTTCCATTGGAATCCATTGAAAAATTCCAATGGAAATAATTGTATTGAAATATCCGTTGGTATTGCCGTTGGAATAATTCTTTTGAAATATATTTCCATTGGAATTCCATCATTTTCTTGTAGTGAGGGGCTTTCTTCCATGTAAAATAGACCATGTGACGACAGCGCGGGCACACACAGTTGTCCTCCAACCACTTGACGAGGCAGTGCGAATGATTACGTGTGGCTGCAATTGGGCAACGTGGTCACCTGTGCCCCCACGTACGGTCTATCCATGCATAAGCCGCACATAAACATGAGACGCCGCCCTTCATTCTCTTGATCCTTGTCCGAGGTAGGTCAAAAAGAAATTGTCTCACATGCTCGTCCAAAGGCTTCGTGAACAGTCGGCCGGTCCCACAGGTAGAGAGGCACCAGCCTCCGCCCGCAGATGGCCGGCAGATGGCCGTCTTCATCACGGTCCGCTCGGCCACGCCCTCCGCTTGCACCGTGCGCACCTGAAAGTTCACGGCCACAGGGACAATCCCAGAGGACTCGGGCCGGGCCCTGGCCATGTCCTGGACAAAGGCATCGGCCTCCGAAGCGAAAGAACGGATCTCACGCCCACTCATCCAATACTCGTTCAACCACTGACTAATGTACGCGCCACAAGGGCAACCGAACATTCGGTCTCCCCCATGCAGGACTCGAACTTCTCCGAGTCGATCACGCGCTCAACTTCTTTGCTCAACACAACGAACTTTGTCCTGATCTCAAACAGAAAGGGCATGGCCCACCTCCCATTCAGAATTTTTGATTTGTGCTTAGAATTATGTGCTCCTCGTTCACCAAATCGACCTGTAACGGTATTCATATCTGAATCTATTGCCCATCCTCTATCAGTATCACTCCACCTGATCTACAATAACAGATGCCAATTGTTGACAAAATCAAAAACTTTCAACTGTAAAAGACGAGCAAAATTTCAACCTAAATTCCAGCCAGATGGGACGCCATCAATTTACATTAATAATAAATAAATAAATATAAATAAATAAATAAAACCAAAACCTGCATATGTAATTCCGAACACATAGCAATCAAATCAAATCCATATCATTCTCAAAAATATATGCCCGAACCCAAAATTTAGTACAAAAATTATTTTTAGTATATAAATAAACTCAAATCATACTCAAAATCTAACTCTAACTTTAATTCAATCTTTTTATATTGAATGTTATTAATATAATTAAATAATATCAATCAATCATTCTTACACTACATCAACTTTAATTCACTGTTCATCCACTCACATAGCGTTAACTAACCATCACTGCGCATCCTCTCTCTCTTAATTCTGCGTCTAATCAACTTTAATTATTTTATTTTAAATATTATTTTAATATAAGACTCAAAATCCAACTAACAATCAACCATACCAACTTTTTTCAAAATTAACATTTGTTAAAAAAAAAAAGAAAAAAAAAATCTCTTTTGAGCTGATATATTTGTATTCGTACACGCCCTAAGTAATCACATGTACAATGTTTCGTTCCTACATGTCGTCCATATATCTCTGAATTCCACCATACTTATAATTAATGTTAAAATTCCATTGTACCCTTGTAAGAATTGTCAATGAGAAATAAACTATAAGTGTCTGTTTGACTCTTTCCGAATTAGTTCATCCAACTAGCAGTTTAATATGACTTGACTTGAATTTGGACCGTTCAACTGTATAAGCATCCAATCTATTCAAAATTAGAGTTACAAATGATTTCCCAAATGATCCATCCTTAAATAAGTAAAAACTCTCTATTGTTCTCAAACAAAACTTTATAAAGCCTTTGGCTGCATTTCAATGGGTTAACAATCAAGATTCGGTATTCTCAAATAATTACATGTATGTTGAATCCAAATACATACATTCTTGAAAATACAAAAGATTACCAACTATATGTATATCTTTTGCATATTCTAAATTTATAGTCATTCTTAGTATACTCATTCTTGGGATAATGAATGAAGTAAAACTTAATTTTATTTCAGAGTATTCCCCACTTAACCTATATTATCTACAATTACTGACTTTATTTATCTCGATACAAAATAAGATAATGACATAATATAATTGTAATACCATTACAAGAGTTACGTCAAAAACAAATGCTTCAAAATGACAATATTACAAAGAATTTTCCAATAAAACCAAATGAAGAAATTCTTGTAACCAAAGCCCTTATTTAGATTAAATTTATGTTGACTAGACATACATTATGTCTCTCCCTATTGTCTTTTGAATCCATTAGGTCACATTCATAACCAATAAGACTAATACTTTCAGATAATCCGACAAGACCTCAAAATGCAATTCATACATAATTTCATCAAAGCTTCATGCCAATTTGTTTGAGGTGATTGAGTTTGCATTTTAGATAACAATATTTCTTTTACCATAACCTTAACATTGAATTAGTTTCATGTCTTGTAGCACGTAAAAATTTGGTCGCTTTATGTGAGCGATAAAAAATCTACTCACGAAATACTTAAGTTGTACAAAACTAAACTAGCTAACTCATGATTGAGCAACAAACTTTAGAATGTGGATTAATAAAGGTTAATTGTACATTGAGTCTTTTGTCGTTCAAGCTTTCTTTTATTGCACAATATATGCATAACTTATGCACAATTGAAGTGACCTTATATTGAAAACAAGATTCAGACATATCACAATGTACTCTCTTATGTTCCATTTGACTTCAATGAAATAATAATCAAAAGTAGATTATTGCATCAAATATATTCTTGGTGGAACCTCCTACATTATCAATCTTATGTCCCAAATAATAACAAAACATTATTCTATAAGCATACAAAACACGGACAATGTTCCCCTACCCACGGTGGGCATATTAACATGTGTCTACCGTTAGTAAATGAGCATTACTGTACAAAACACATAGAAAAGTTTTATAATGACAAATTAGTTAAGATAAACATTGAAAAGTTAGAGTACATCACCAAATTACTCACACTGAAATTTATGTCATGCATAAATATGAGATAAGTTGACCAAATATAGACACATGACAAGACACCATAATGTAACATTAATATCGTGGACATAAAACTAAATGCAGTTGTAATCTTGTTGTAACCATCAAATATTGATAATAAATTCCGTCAAACAAAAGTCTATCTTAAGACTGACTAATGTTCACATGAACAATCCAAATAATTATCACATACTTATCATCACTAAGTGTGAGAAAATGTCTAATGACTACTGATCTATAATTTGTTAAATCAAACATTAATTAAACAAAGACTCCACAACACCAGCGAAAATATTAGAAACGGTTCTAGGATCATTTTATTATACGATTATATGGTGTACCATCAAATATGTTCCATAAATTTATATTTATAAAAATCAATGATATGCAAATAATTTCTCTATTTAACATTGAAACCATAAAGAGTAAGATGCATTTGTTAAAGGGTAAACTGGCGTGGTGAAGAAAAAAAACAGATAATTTGAGAATCTATATACAATCATTATGAAAATATAACAAAAAACTGAATTAGAAACTTTGTACGACTATATGCACCTGAAGGAATCTAGATACAATCCCTAAAAATGCGAGTTGAATATTAGAAACCGAAAACGAGAACAATTATGGCGCAATCCTCCGAGGATCGCGTGGGAAAAGACTTGTTTTCCTGATATTGTCCAGAGCGCAGAAAAGCATCACCACACGCTCCAACCCCACTCCAAACCCGCCGTGCAGTGATGGTGGTTTATACCTAACAAAAATTCAAACAGACACTAATAATAAGAAAGGTAAATAAATTACAACAATTAAAATAATAATACATGTATTCTCTCGGATAACACACTAATAATAGTAACAGAAGCAGGCACGTAGCAAATCTTTGTATAACTATATGCACCTGAAGGAATCAATGTATGTAGATATCGCCTCAGTCTCAACATCAATTCCACATGCCTGTGCGCGCTCAATCAAGAACCCGTGCACGTGAATACGCTGAGCCCCTGATATAATTTCCTCACCTGCAAAAAAAAAAAAATAAATAAATAAATAAAAATAAAAATAAGAAGGTACTCGTAAATTTGTTCAAAGATGCAAATGTGACTTTCGAGAGATTGAGGATCATTAAACATTTATAAACATTTCATTTGCTTCCTATAAATGATACTTCTAAAGTATTCCTTATAGTTAGTTTGCACAATCTGCTTTCATGAAATGCAATTCAGAAATGAAACTATAATAGGAATGTGCACTCAAGACCTGCAAGAAGCACTCCTGCATATAGATAAGTTGTATATTACCTCGGATGAAAGCATCAAATGAGTTGCTGTAGTTTGGATTATCAGCGCACGGCATCGTATAGAATGGCCTTACACCCAAAGGATAGCGGTGAAGGATAAAGAACTCAGTGTCATACCTACAATCACAAACAAATAGATATGATACTATTACCAATTATATACATGATTCTCATATCGATGCTTTTGTCAGTGGCATTTCCGTCCTTTCCCCTTGGATCATCTCTTTCATTAGTTGAAATAAAAAAAAAAAAAAAAAAAAAACTCCCATTTTTCTTTATTTTTATTCTATTTCCAAATTTTTATTGCCATTTCTAATGACAAGTACAATAAGCAGAACCTTCACAATAGTTTTCTTCTATTATGGTAGGGTTAATAACAGTTTAGTTTTCTTCACAATAGTTTATCCTTTTAAAGTAATCACAGCCCATGGTTTGTTTATCATGAATGGGTAAGTTGGCAATGACGAGGATTAAATGATGACCCAAACCCGTTAATACAAAGATACAGAAATGAAGAGAAACAATAAGATAAAAATTGTCATACTTCTCAAGTACAAGCTGGCCAAGCTTTCTCTCTGATTCTGTGTTGAGATCTCCAAGGGGATCAATTTCAACGCCAGCTTCCTTCAATGAAAATCATGAATTTGTTGAGAAAAAAGGATAAAAAAAGCTATAATTCAAAGTGTTAGAAGAATAGATGTGTCTCTCAATGTGTGCAAGGTGTGTGTCGGGCAAAGTGAATACAGTGAATCTCATTATCTAAGGGAATCAGCAAAACATTTCAGCCAATGTTCCATTCTATGTTCTTATATCAAATAACAATTTACAGATATGCATATGCCAAAGCCATGCTAACATATTACATTGACAAATAAAAGCTAGTACACATCATTAAACACTAATTTCATGTACAGTTCCTTGTTTCATGTTGCATTATGAATGCATACCATTTTGTTATTCTTATACCAGCTTTTTTGCATTAACATATGCTCAGCTTCATAGATGTAGTATATTGACTGTCCTAGCATTTTTCATACAAAATGATAGAAAATGAACAAGAATATGAAGCCTTGTGAGTCTACAACCATTATTCCTGCATAAGGGAGCACTTTAAAAATATCATAAACGGATCTATACTAAGAACCAATCAACTCATTTGAGTGACCTAGATTGTAACCCAAAAACATTAATCAGATCAGCCTGATGTCTTCACCAATTTATTTTAGAAAAATGATTTGGATATTTATTTACAGATATACATCAACATTCATCTTGTTTTCTCACCTTCAGCATTTGCACCCCTTCTTCAAAGGTAAGCCGTAAGGTCTTG